CATTCGGATGTATCACATACCTCTATCCAGGTTGATCTCCAGACATTTTACTGCACAGAACCCCCTGTAACCTTTCCTCAGTAATATCAGACTTCAGCAGGGCTTTGAGACCACAAAATGTCAACTTGCAGTGAAAGCAGCTGTCAAAAAACTGGTGTTTGGACTGCTCCTCAAGTCATTCAGTGAGATGCACTTTCTTAACCTTTAAATATGAGTAAAAAGGTGCCAGGTGTTATGAGATCTAGCAGACATTCCCTTGTTGAAGGAAATAGAGGTGTATGTGAGGATATCAACAGAGCAGTTCTCTTTCCTCTTCTGGTTATTACAGAAAGCAGAAGAGGAAAGGTGGGGAGATGTGCAGAGGTGAGGTGCGCAGCTCAACTTGTTCCCAAACAATGTTCTGGAAACAAGCCATGCTGAAATACAACCAAACCAGAAACAGTCTGATTAAAAGGTTATCTCTGTCTCTCTGACTTCAGTCAGGAGCCCTAAGTGGTCTAGTTGCAGTCAGAGCCATCAAGAGACCAACTTAATTTGAAGTGTAATAACAATATTTCAACATTTCTGCAATAGACATTGCAATTTATAGCAAAAAAAGTCTCATCTTATGTACTAATTAGCCCCAGCTGCAGAATCCACAGCTATCCTGGTATCAAGAAAACATTTAGACAGCTTGTTAGGGGTAGGTGAAAAATGAATATGTATTAATCACCCTTTCACTACATTCAAGCGTAACTAGACTCTAAAAGTAGAGCTAAAGGAGAAAATTAGCCGAAGACTATGAGAGTAGTCGACATTCAATGGGGCTTCAACACTAGACATGTCTTAGGCATGTTAAGAAACTGTCCCTAAAAGGGACGGATGTGAGGATGAAGTCATGACTCCACAGAGCAGTTCCCACTGACTTCACGGGGTCAGGACTTTGCTTCCTGGGTTACAGCTTCACCCAGAACAATGCTCAAATGAAGCATGTCAGTTCTGTCATTTCCTGAGGGGTCAAAAGAGCAGCTCCTTACTTTGAAAACTTCTAAGAGCTCATCCCCAAGCCCATCCAGTGACTTGTGATTGTGGCCAATTAGAGCTCCTAGAAGATGCCTGGTTTTTCATAGGGAAGGTGTGCAGCCTCTCTGGAAGTTAGGCCTTCTTTCAGGTGTTTCAAATTATGCCCAAAAACATCGAGGCCCCCCACATTCACTGCTCACCTTCTGAACATCGTGAATTAAGTCTTATCTTATCTTTAAACCACTACACTAGGTACATGCTACAGCATTCACAGAGGATTTTTCCAGTTTGCTTTCTAAAAGGCAAAACTGGAAGAATCCTACCAAGATAACTCAGTGTTAATTTGTAGAAAAATCGTGCTGACTCACTTTGTCCTCAGAGTAATAAAAAGATTCATGAAGACATTTAGTACGCTGTGCAATTGTAGCTGAAAACATAACTGCAGTGGGTGCACCTGGTCCATTAGAGGCAGCTGCAGTTGATAAAGCTCTAGGGGCAAAGAAAGAAGGACAGGCATAGTATTTCAGGATGATCTGGAAGGGAGAAGATAGATTACACTTAAACAAGCAGTAAAATCTGAAAGAGACAAAAGTCATAGTTTGCCAGAATTTTTTCAACCTGCAACAGTTGTGCTAAACTACCACAGCTGGTGGGAAACAAAACTCTCAGGCTATGGGAAATGTCAAACTTTTGGAGTTAAGACAGAAGCTGGAATACTGAAGTTTCCTGACTAAAACAATTCAGAAAGGTTTTCAAGCAGAAACTTTGAAATGGAAAAATGTTGTTTTGTAAGATTGACTCAGCATTTTTCACTGTGATTCTCCCAAATTGGAAACTTGGGAAGTGATAGAAAAATGAGAAGTTTCCATGGAAAAAAGATGCACTTCTGACTCACTCCTTCTTACAGAAGAGGGGAGGATGTGAAAGGAAGGAGACGTGCAGGAAAAAGACAAAGAGAACTATCACATTTTTTCTAATGTAAGACAACGTTTAAAACAAAGTATTTCCTCTAAAAATGCCCTGTCCTAAATTTCAGTAAACAAAGTAAAACATTGTTTATATGCACCACAGATGTCTTTATTTGAATATTTTTATCTTTTTCCTCAAATTCTTAAAACGTAAGTGTCACATTCAAAGATACTTTATATTAGAAGGAATAAGATATTTGAAAGAGGAGACAATGAGTAAGACATGCACTTGTTTGACATTTAACATTTTATACTAAAACAAAACCTTAGTTTTTCTAGTATCTAAAAACTATATAATTTTGTGATATTTGAATAAACATGTAATTGGCTCATTTATTAAAAACACAAGAGTCAGGAAATTCAAAAGTTGATACCCTCACTCCTTTAACAAGCAACATTTCTGCTAAGTAATAGACCTTTTGTACATCATTTAAAATATATATTACATAGTTTCTGTGAATACTTTTAGCTTTTTTATCTCAAAGTCTAACTATTAATTACATGCAGAAATGCCATTAATGTAGCAAGGTTCACAGTTTAAATGACACAGCATTCAACTACAGGATTTTAACAGAAAAAAAGACTAGAAATTTATTATTATAAAAAAGGGGAACTTTTTTTCTTGGACTTTTGAAAAATGATGATACCAACAAATCCTAAACTGAAGTGGTATTTGTAATGTTCAGGAGGTTTCTAGTAATTTTAAAGAGATGAAAGAAACACTATTGAAAAAAAAATCCTAAACTAATTGTGACCTGCTTTACGATCAAAAAAATTGCTTGTTAAACCTGGAAAGAACTGAAAACATTTAGTTTATTTTTTCAATGTCAACCTGATTTAAGTTTTGCGTTTCTCTCAACCTGAATGAGCAAAACAGATCAATAGGTTCCAGTTAATTTCACTTTTGGAATCTTACTAGACACAATGTTGCAGATCAGCAGAAAGTTCATGTTAAACTTGAATTAAGAAACAGAAAAAAATGTGTTATAAGAATATTTTTCTTGGTCTTAGGTTTGGCATGAGCTTGCTTTGTAGACTTTGATCCAGTCTGGGTATGGCAAGTTGTGCTTTTTCTCACTTTATGTTTACACAAAAGGTGTACACTCAGACCTGATCACAGCTACCTTGTGCCCTCATTAAGAACATCATTCATATTCAGCAAAACTGTGCGGCTTTCTCTAAGCACATACATACTTAAGTACTTTACTGAATAAAGGTAGGTTTAAGCACATACTTAAGTGCTTGATAAATGTGGAGATCTGGAAAGCTCTATCCATTCTTGCCATGGGTGTCAAATGCAGTTTCACTAGGATACTCCATTAAAATGGTGCTGTTCCAATCCTTTCTGCATAGGAGAGGACCTTGGCACAGGGTTTGGGCACTGTTTTCCTTTAATAGAAAGAAAATTTACAATTGCTGCTGACACATTTGGCAAGGGTCAGGTGGCTCAGTAGATTGGTCATAAGCAGGGATCCGGGTTTTCCATTTTCGAAAAATGGAGAAAAACTTGGTTTAACCTTTTACCCAAAAAAACATGAATTTTTAATTTTAATGGAGAAACCCGCACATTTTGCACTTTAGCAAAGAGCTCTCTGTAGGCTGACAGAGTTCCAGCCTGTGAGGTGCTGTGGGGAACGGGAGGAGGGCAGTCAGACGGGGGGCACCACGTGCATGTACATGCGCATGGCTGCAAGGCAGCCTGGAGATTAGCTCCCATGTAAGTCTGGAGAGGGGATGGGGGACTGAGGCCCCCATAGCGAGGGAGGGAGGGAGTGAACTGGGCAGGGCTGGGGCTGCTGCCCAGCTGGGTGGTGCATGGGGCCCAGGGCCAGAAAACAGGGAGCAGGATGGAGCAGCTGATGGCTTGTCCAGGAGGCAGGGCGGGTGAAGCTGGCTTCCCACTGTTGTGCACACTCCCAAAGGGGCATGGGGAGCATGTGGCCCCCAGATCTGTGCATGGGGCAGGGGTGGGCTGCCCACTGCAGGCTTGGGCACCCTGCCTTGCTGCCCTTCCCTCAAGGCCTCTGCAGCCCAGCAGGCGGGACCTGGCATGGCAGGGCAGAGAGGGGCCAGGCAGGGAAGTTCCTTGCTGCAGTGAGGTCTCGGTGAGCCCAAACCCAAAATCAAATACCAAAATCTCTAGGTATTTAGAATTTATTTTATTTCAGTGATTGAGGCACTGGCAGGCTTCCAAAAGGCTTTAGAATTGTAAATATATCAATAAAACATTGTGTTCAATTGATACCTATATATATATATATATATATAGTGGCATTTCATTTTAATCATGGATTTTGGGGGTTTTATCAGAGAATTTCCAGGTTTTTTATCAGAAATTTTTCTTTTTTTTTTTTTTAAATCAGAGAAAACCAGGATCTCTGGTCATAAGTTACAGAGCTCCATACTTTTATGCCAACAAACAGTACTATACAGCCATACTAAACAATTGCATAGCATGTTAGTTCCAGGCATGAAATAAAGCGTCACATGAAGTCAGTGGTAGATTCAGGGAGACTACCCAGGTTTTCCAGCTTTCAGCTTGGTGTCCAGATGATGGATAACTCTAGATGCAATCTAAACTCAATGCCACCACATGTCATCACCTTTTCCATGACTTTTCAGCTTTGAAAAATTAAGACTCCATGGTCTCAGTCCAGTCTGCTATGGATAAGGGTTCATATATCCCACCAATGGGAACTAATACATACCCCTGAGCAGGGGACTCAAGGATCAAAGGACTACAGAGGAAAGCCAAAAATCCCACCTTTAGTTAAGGGAATGTGCGTTTGGTGGGTTGGGGAGGCTCTCAGACAAGAAGCATGACCTGTGATCAAATATAGGGCAATGACTATCTGCACTGGTTAAATTAAGACAGAGGTACTGACAAGAAAGTGTCTTTTATTTCAATTAATATTTCTTGGCATTAGGCAGATATTAAATAACACTGGAATGCACAAGACTATGAACATAGGAACATGAACAGGTAGGAGGGTGAAGCAAAGTTTAGAACAGCAGTGCGAGTCACATCACTTCATCTCACTCAAAAGCCATTTAATGCTGCATCCACCTTAAGTGGGACTCCACTGAGAAATACAAAAATTAAGATTACTCCTTTAAGTCTTTTGTTAATACAGTAACGCTGGAATGATCAACAATAAAAAGGAACAAAATATTTGCATTGAGTAATTAAACAGAGTGAATATCCACAAACTGCTAGTCATGCACTTCCTTTTGAACAGCAATTTGCTAATGCATAAATATCACAAAAAACAATCTCCAATCTCCAAGATTTGAATAAAATCACAGACATCTAGAAGAAATTAAGCTTGAATTCTACTTTATGCCTTAAATAGATTACCTAAATATTAATTTTTACTTCACCATATATATATAATTTATATATATATATATATATATGTATATATATATATATATTAAAAGAAAGTAAAGACCATTAGATAAGTGCAAGCAATTTTTCTCAAAGAAAAAAAATTGGAACCATGCCCAAGAAAGCCTTTTCTTCTTCTTTTTCCTTTCTTGATTTATTTTGCTTTCTATTTCATTCAGTCCTCATTTTGTACATAGTCATTTTTGAAGCAAAATAAATTATCTACTGTCTGCTATGCTGGATAAAAGTCCTACCTAGCATCTTCTTAGGACTACTAGAAAGTCGTCTTTCCTACCGACTACATGATGTGATGTCTCACCAGAAATTTGAGCTCATAGCATCTGCATGTAAACATACCTTTCAATTACATTAAATGTGTAGAGTGAGTCATAACATTAGGGGTGAGAGGAAATGGAATTGCCAAAAGGAACTTTGCACTGGTGTTAGTGAAAGAGCGCGGCTGTCTTCACTCGGAAACACACCAATCTGGCAATGGAATCTTATCCACTAACAGTTGAGGAATGATTGAGAAGGCATCCATTTGCGAGCAAAGCTTGAACAAGCCAGCATTTTCTTTGCAAACTGTTCAGAGTTTAATTAGAACTGACTTGCACTGCTCGGATCACATTGTAGCAATCGCACAATAGAGGGATCACTCTTGGCACCTTTAATAAACTCTTCAAGAGACAGTTTACCTTGAAGGGAGAAAACAAAGTAAGTCAATCATGCTGCAAAAGTCAATGCGGCTTAAAACTAAAACCTGTTCATAGAATACTTAAGACCATATAGCTTATTGCAATGCATTTGGGGTTGTATTCACTGCAGTGAAGAGGAGCTGAGCACTGAAATCCTACTCAAGCAATTAAACCTGGATACATTTCCACCCTCCCCTCCCCCCTGCCAAGTAATGTAATATTTTACTCTACATTTTATATTAAAAACACATGATCGAGGTAAAACAATTATACTAATACCACCTTCAATCATACATTATGCAGAACTGCATTACACAAAAAAACTGAAGTAAAATCATTCAGACAACATATAGTACATGTAAACACCTATGCAAACTGTTTTAAAAAAGAGCTTGATTATAGGTGAGATTTTTAAACCCAAAAAACCCAGGGTCTCCATGCTATATGAACTGTTACGATTCACTGGAACGTGATCATGAAAAGCAGGGCAGTGTGACTGTGTCCCTTTCTGATGGACTATTTATTTTCTAAATTCTGTTGCACAAGGACACAGAAATGGGATATGCTGGGCAGAAAAGGGTGGAAAAATATTTGCTAAATAGGGTAAAGCTCATGAGCTGGGGCTAACTAGGGGAGGCGAATGTAAAAACCACGTAGAAGTCTGTGGCTCTGCTTGGCATTTGAAAACAGGCACTGCTTGCAGAGTATGAACAGTCACGAGTCAACACTGCTGCAGTGTGCACTGCTGTATTTCTCTGTTCTGCAGTATTGTTGAAGAGGCTGGCACTGCTTTTGCGATCTCACATGGGACCAAACCTAATGTGAACCAAACTGAGTTCACAGCAAGTTCACTTGGGACCAAACAAAGTTCCCTTGGTTATGGAGCTTCTGCTGAGATCAAAGCAAGTTCAGCTCACATGGGCTTTCAGGATCAGGTTAGTGAACTCTTAGTTGAATAACCTTAGTGACAAGAACATTTTTTCTATCCATTATTTTGCATACGAGGTACTGGCAATGGTATAGTACACACAGACGCACACAAGGAAAGACATACACCACAAGGCAGCGTTTCTGAGCAATGAAACGTTTTTTTTCCTAGGATGACTGATTCGGCCAGACAATTCCCTCCGAGAGCCATTACATTGTCTCTTCGGCATAAGACAGGCAGGAGAGGGTGTGGCCGGAGCATTCATTCCTGAACTCCCTTTTGGCTTTGTACTCCCATGAGGGTCATTATAACATGACAGTTTAGAGCAGGACTGAGTCCAATGGGATGGCTCACCTGACCAAAGTTACTCATCTGCCTCCGTGCTTGAAGGTTTCAGGTAACTGAGAGTTGGGCCAAACTGTCTTTATGCTACTGTATAAAAGGTTCCTAGTTTCAGAGAATTCTCTAAAACTATTCCATGTAAAATTGCACACTGAATACTTTAATTCAAAGATCTGCTGGTGGACTGCTGTATAACGTTATTCCCTCGACCTCGTTATGGGGTATGACATTTCATACAAGAGCTATACCCAACATTTTAATGCAGAGCGGGCAAAATACTACCCAAGGGCCACATCTGGCCTGCAGGTGACCACCAATTGATTATATCCCCATCCAGCCCACCCACGCTCTTCGCTCCCACCCTCTTGCACAGGAGGGCCACGTCCAGCACACACAACTTTGGGACGGGGCCACTGCTGTCACTGCTGCAGCCGCCGGGGGGACCTGCTTGGCTTTCCTGGCTTCCAGCAGCATCTTCTCATGTCCTTGCTGTAGCACTGGCTTTGGGCAGTGGGTAGGGAAGCTGCAGCTGGGCAGGGGGCCAGGGTTGGCAGGAGCACAGAGCCTGGGGCCTGCACCCAGTGGGGCAGCAGAAGTGTGGAGCTCAGGTGGGAAGGGTGTGGGTGTCTGGGGTGAGGAAGGGAGGGGGAGGCATGGGGATCCCCTGCACACAGACCACCCCCCCACCCCCTCCCCCGCCTGGTGC